GGGGGGGGGAGAGCAGAGAGGGCTGGCACCCTTCTGCCGCGCGGTGCTGGAGAAAGCCGAGTAGGTGAGCTCCGATAGGGGACTGAGGGCTTTGGACTCTACCCAGAGGTTCCAGTCTCCATGCCAAGCCCTCACCTGAGCAATGTGCTTTATGGTTTACTGCACTGGAGTTTCAGCAGATGTCGTCTCTACCTGTCACTCCCAGGAGCTGACAACACCCAGGCGAGAGGGAGAGGGCAGTGTGCGTCGGGAGGGGAGGGGAGGGGATGTGCCGGGGGAGGGAGGCAAATGCACTTGACTGCTGGTGGGCTGTGGGGCTTGGGCAGCTGGTGGCTGTCCCTCCCTCAGGATCAAGAAAGGCCTGGTGGTGCCCATGCTTGGCCAGGTCAGCCCTGGTGACTGAGGAGCTCGGGGGGCTGGGCCCCTCCCTGAGGCTGATAGCTGCGGGCTGGCGTCGGTTCTGGTGGAGGGTGCCATGGGGCCAGGCCGCCATCTTGGTTCTAGCATCTCTGAGCAGGGGGAGGGACGACCACGGGAAAGTTACTTCACCTCTTCCCTCACCTTGGACCCAGGACGAACTCATTTTACTCTTAATGCTCAAACCACACCTGAGATAGGGACCCTCTTAATTCCCATTTTACAGATGAGGAAGCCCAGGCCCAGGGCGGGCCCCAGAGAGAGCCGGATCGAACGCGGGCAGTTTGAGTCCCTACACCACGTGCTGACCCACTGTGCCCTGCGCTGCAGGGGAGAGGCAGGGAGAGGCTCCAGGTGGGCACTCCGGAGCCAGACTTGCATCCTAGCTCGCTACCAATGGGCTCTGTGAGTCTCCCTCAGCCTGTTTCCTCATCTGTATGACAAGTTTAATTATAGGAACATCTCAAAGGGTTGTTCCGAGTGAGGGTCAAGATAAAGTGATAGCAGCTGGTCATCTAAAACAGTGCCCGGCATAAAGTACTTCTTGCTTTTGGTATTTGTCAGCTGGGGGGGGGGGGGTATAAAATACAGTGACTTAGGAGGTGAGTGATCGGAAAGTTTCAGTCCTTTCCCCTCCTCTCCTCTTCCAACGTTTATTTATTTTTGGGACAGAGAGAGACAGAGCATGAACGGGGGAGGGGCGGAGAGAGAGGGAGACACAGAACCGGAAACAGGCTCCAGGCTCCGAGCCGTCAGCCCAGAGCCCGACGCGGGGCTCGAACTCACGCGAGATCACGCGAGATCACGCGAGATCGTGACCCGGCTGAAGTCGGACGCTTAACCGACTGCGCCACCCAGGCGCCCCCCCTCCTCTCCTCTTCCAACCCAACAGGTAGGCTCCGGTCAGTTTCCGAAGCCGGGTGGGAGTGAATTCCATCCTGTGACACGGGCGTCTTTTTATGTTGACTTTTTTTTCAAAGAGCTGGGAGTACGTCCAAGGTGGCAAGTCTCATTTGTATGGATACCGGCTCTAGGAATTACGTCCCATCAAACAACCCCCGGGGCCTGCTGGGTTACATTAAGTTCCTGATGTCACCCTGCCAGTTGAAGACACGGCTGTCGCTGGAGTGTCAGGGCTCCCGAGTGCCCCGCTCACTGCTCCCTCCTTTTCCGTAGGGAGAGGTTTGAGAAAGAGAGAGAGGGAGGAAGAGGAAGGCTGGCTTGAAGTTTCTGTGACCACTGCCGACCACAGTGACGGTCAACAGGCATGACAAGATGGTAATGGCAGCCACCGTCCTTACTGAGAGCGTTGTCTGCGCCATCGGGCTGGATCCTCACGGCGACCCTCGGAGGCGGGCGGGCCTGTCATCCCCCGTTTTAGGAGGCAGAGATCTGAAGTGGATTCGTGTCCACGCAGTGGGGAGGCGGTGGGTGCTTACCAGTCACACCTGCCCTGTGGGCTGCCAAGCCCCCTTGTGGTCTCGCCCCAACCCTTGCGGAGTGGGCTTGGCCCTCGCTACCTTCTGGGGAGGCCAGACCCGAGATACCTGCTTCCACCTGTGAATTTTCACAGGGTCGATCTTGCCCTCCCAGCAGCTGTAAACCACACGCCAGCAGCCTGCACCTTGACCTTTCTTTAACTACCACGGTCTCGGAAGTGCCTCCAAACCTGAATCTTTAGTGGCGGTGGCGGAAGATCCTTCTCTGGTTGAGACCACGGCCCTCTCTTTAGGGGAAGAGTCTTTGCCACCTGGAACCGCTGACGGTGCACCTGCCGTGTGCCATTCACCGCGCCCAGCCCCCCGCCCAGGTCAGGAGCTCGCGGGAGTAACGATTTCACTCGTTTTGCCAATGAGAACCTTGAGGCCCAGAGAGGCTGAACCTCTGGCCTCAGGTCACCAGCCGACTCCTATTTTAAGTCACTGGAGTCTCAGATCCACCCTGGAAGCCCAGGCCTTGGTCAACACCCTTTTCCTGGGAGACTGCTCGGAGGAGGCATGAGGTGAGCCGATTTGCTAGAAGGCCCTTTGTCTGCCATGGCTCGCCACGGAGGAGGCAGGAATTACCCGCCCTCTGTTTCACAGAGGGACGCACGGCCTCAGAGGGTGAAGAAAGGGCCTCGGTCAAGGTCACGCGGCCCAGAAGTGGAAGAGCAGACCGCCGCCAGCCCGGATCCTCTGCCCCCACATCTGGTGCCATTTCCTCTACCCCACGGTGTGGGAACATCTGCCGGCCAGCCTCAGCGAGGGCCCTAGAAAACCGGCGGGGGCCTCGTTTCCCTCAGCTGCCGGTCGGAAGGCTTGTCTCCCTTTCTGCCTCTTGTAATATGAAGTGCGCGCGCGCGCACGCGTGTGTCTTTTAAAAATCTTTTGTCAGCACCAAATTCATCTGAAATTGCAGCAGGCATAATACTTCCGTGTCCTCTTTACGCTCTTCGGTTCTAACAATCTTGCAGGGTATCAGCCGGCCTCCGCTTCAGAGGAAAAATAATAATGAATGACTTAAAATAACTCTGCGGAGGAAAACAAAGGTTTGATTTGAATTGCAGAGGGAACGGCTCGCTTTCAGTCCCTCTCCCTCTGTTCGTTTGCTGGCGAAGGCTTTCAGGCTCTGCAAGATCCTTCTACATTCGGAGATTCCAAGGCTCCGGATCGTCACGTTGTTCGATCCACCAGGGTATTTGTCAGGCATCTTTCCCCGTCATTCCAAAATACTACCAGTATCACCTTAAGAACAGGAAGCATTTAGTTCTTTGGTCTGTCCTTTCTTAAACATCGTCCGGGGCATAGGGAGTGATACGGTTTCCCTACCACGGTGCTGCCTACACGAGCATCTTCCTCGGAGCTGCATCAGAGTGGCCCATAGGCCACAGAAGCCTGTCTCATTAATCACGGTGATCCGTATCAATAGAAGGGAATTCTCAGAAGGAGGCGAAATGCAGGTTTAACCAATGAGGCCCTATCTGAGGAGACTCATTATAACTCCTTACATCGGTCCCAAGAGGACATGGCAGGTCACGGGTGTGCTGAACACTTTAATAGAAACCCTACTTAACCCACATGGGCATAAATGAAGCTGAGATTACGGAGAAGTATGTGCTGGCGTGTGCTGACCCTGTGGCTCGATTCAATCGTAATAAAGTTCTGCGGATTTAATACATTTTCTCCGTAGAGTGTCACAGCCGACGGAGTTGTGAATAGCACGTTCTGTTTTTGCCTTGAGAACAGTTCTCGTCAACCAAGTAGCCAATGGGAACTCAGTTAATTAATAAAAGTACATCCCTTTTAAGTACTGCTGTGGCTTGACTGGCCCTTGATCGCATGGATTTGAACAAAGCCAGTTTGGAGGTTGCTAATAGGAACTTGTTACTGAGCTGTCATTTACAAAATGTACTTTGAGGCTCTGAGTCATCAGGTCACGCAGTGATGCCAGGGGTGGGGACGGAGGGAGGCTTAGGGTTGAATCTATTGATGTGCTGGAACCCAGAGGGGAGGGCAGCTGCTCCCCAGGCTTAGACCCCAGGTCAAATGGGGCCACATCAAGTGATGGGATTGTTACCTCCCCAGGTGCCAATTGGGGTTGGCTT